GGTGAGGCGCATCGCGTGGCGGAGACCGGGGTCAAGGCTGGCCCTGCGCCTGGGCCGAGCGCTCACTCCCCTGACTCCCTTCCTGGCGTGTCCCATCCCAGGGCAGGAGCAGCTGGAGCGAGAAGCGGCCGCGCTCTTCACTCACATCGACACAGCCATTGGGAAGCTCCGCGCCGGTGAGGAGGCCGCGTGTCCCAGGCCCAGGCCTCCCCAGAAGACCCACTTGTCGTGGGAGGGAGGTGTGCTGAGGGTGGGCACAGCCTCCGTCGGGGGCGTCCCTGTGGAGTCCATGTTGGAGAAGCCGGGGAGGCATCCCCAGTCGCGCTGCGAGGTGGACCTGCTCTGTGAGACGCAGGCGGCCTGCGCCCCTTCCCTCCCTCCGACGCCGCCCAGACAAACCTTCGCTCCTGAGCGAGATGCACGTCCAGAAGCAGCTGTTCGCTGAGAGGCTGAGCAGGGCTTCCGAGGAGCTGAAGGAGCAGGGTGAGAGGGGCTCCCCGCCACGCCCAGCCCTTCGCCTGCCTCCAGCCCTGAGGCTGAGAGCAGAGTCCAGTCGCCCCCCCCCATCCCTGCCCCCTACCCGGTGCCTGTCCACACCTCCCAGCGCCACTTCCTGCCCACACCCCACCCCTCCTGGCTCTGTCTGCCTCCCTGGCACCTCAGCTTCTCCACCATCTCACCCTCGGGCAGCCTGCAACCGCTCCTGTGGTGAGTACTGGGGACCCGGCTGGGCCTGGGTGAGGGGCACCAGGCCCTCGCTAAGGCTCCTGCCCCGCCTCTCGCAGACCTGCCCTTCAAACTGGAGGTCATCAACTGCGCCAACTGCAGAGCACACCTCCTCACCTGCAGAGACCCCACCCTCTGCCCAGGTCAGTGGCCAGTGGCCGTCTGGCCCCCCCCCCCCCCCCCCCCCCGCCTGCTCCCCTCTTCCCTGTTGTCTCTTCCCCATCACTTGCACTTCTGTCCGGCCCTGCGCTTGCTCTCCATTGTCACCGTGAAGGTGGCACCTCCGAGATGTCTCAGCTCCACATGGCCCGCTGCAGAACCACAGAGCCGCCTGTCCCTGGACACCTCCCTCGGCTGCAAAGCCAGCGGCTGACAGGCCCAAACCCTCTCCACCCCCAGATCTGCTCTCCCCTCGGGGGCTCTCTTAGCAAACGGCCCCGCTCTAAGAGCTCAACCCCTGAACCAGAAATCGCCCTCCCCCTTACCCAGTCATGGAACCATCAAATCTTAGGAAATAATTTTTGAATATGTTGCCATATTTTCATTCCAACACCCACCCTCTCCTCCAGGCCTCCTCACCTCTCACCCGCAGTATGACAGCACCCTCTGGTCACATCTTACTCAGCAATCAAAGAACTTTTTCTCAAGAGAAAAGCTGCCGATGACACTCCCTGTATATAACTTTCAGTAGCTCCCAATTCCCCCCCATAAAGTCCACGGTCCTCGGGGGCCCTGTGTGAGCCACCCCTGCTAACCTCCAGCTCCGGGCTCCCCAGCCACACTGGCCAGCTTTAGATTTCTATCCTTGAACATCCTGTGCCCTTGGCCTGGACTGCATTCCCACTTGTCTTTCAAAGTCAGCCAGAACTCCTGTTTCCTAAGAAACCTTCCCTGACCAGCTCCAGCCCCCTGGGCTGGCTCGTCAGCCTCCTCAGATTCCTGCCTCTGGGCCCCGTCCTGTCCTGCTTCCCTTGGACGCCTCATGCAGTTGCTTGCTTGTCTCCCTCCTGGAGAGCAGGGGCCATGTCTCATTCATCTTGGAGTTTGCTGGGCACACAGTAGGTGCTCAGTAAGTAGTTGCAGACAATTGACTGAGCCGGTGAATGAAGCAAGGAAAGAGGGTGGCTTTCTCTCTGAGCCAAGACACCATGACTGCTCCCCAAACCCCTGGCCCCTCTGTCACCCTCCCCCCGGCCCCAGGCTGGACCCAGCAGACTCTCCTGTGGGCTGGGAGCCTCTGCATTACTCTGGCCCTGGCAGTCGTCGCTGGAGGTGGGTGAGTGACTCCCCAAGCCCTGCATCCCCAAAGCAGACCCGCTGCTCCTGGACTGACCCATTTCCACCTGTTCCCTGGCCCAGATGGTACATTTTCTGGCACAAGAAGCAGGCAGAAGAGGTACTGGAGGACACCCCTGCTCAGCTCTAGGGCTCCTGAGGATGGGATGCTGGGCCTGCCCTGGGGGGAGCATGGCTGGAGGCTCCAACTCTGACCCCAGGGCCTGACAACCAGAGCAGAGGGGAATCAGGGCTGGGACCCATTCGCCTCCCCCAACCCCACCCCCAATCCCACCCAGTGTGAGCAGACAGACACACAGGGGGCCAGGGCCAGGGCACAGAGGCAGCAAAGCTCCCAGGCTCCCACCTGATCCACCAGGTGCCCTCTCCCCACAGCTGCTATAGCCCCTCCCCGGACCCACCCTGCCCCGCTGCCCCTGTGCCCTCAAGCACCGGCTATCGGGGTGCCTGCCCTCATTGAGGACAGGTGAGGGCCACGGAGGTCGGGGTGCAAACCCGGCACATTGCTCTCAGCAGGGACGCAGCAGGCTGCTTGTCCCCCAGAGCTGAGCAGGGGTCCCTGCACTGCCAGGAAGCCCCCTCCCCGGACCCCCTGCGCAGCAAGGTGACAGCTCTGGGTTCTGAGGCAGGAGCTTGTGCCTTGTAAAGTCCTTCATTAAACTCCCCCCGTGTTCTGACTCCTGCACTCCTTGCTTCCTGCTGGGACCCGGCAAATGCAGCACAATGGACCCTCCCAGGCGGTCCACAGGGACTGTCCCTCCCCACCACTGCCCACCACCCTCCCACTCCGCGAGCACCGTCCACTGCCCTGGTCCCGCAGTCGTAGCTCCACCGGCTCAACCAGCTCGCCTGATAACAACACCAGAGATGAGTCCAGGGCTGGCCTGCGTCTCCCCAGGGGTCCCAGCGGCTGTGGGTGGAGCGGGGGCAGAGGGAAGCCAGCTGATGGCGCACTCAGAGCAGCGGCTGGTTAAGAACACCACGAAACAGGCTCCAAACCACACCCAGCCATGTTTGCCGGGGGCCTGGCCAACATGTCCACCTGGGCCACTGTGCTGCCGGCAGGGAGTTTCCCAGCCCTCCTCAGGCTTGGCTGCCTCCTGCTCCATCTCCCTCCTGGCCCTCCTGCTCCATTTCCCTCCTGGCCCTCCTCAGGCTTGGCTGCCTCCTGCTCCATCTCCCTCCTGCTCCATCTCCCTCCTGCTCCATCTCCCTCCTGGCCCTCCACAGGCTTAGCCTCCGCCTGCTCCATCTCCCTCCTGGCCCTCCACAGGCTTGGCCGCCTCCTGCTCCATCTCCTTCCATGTCCTTTTCTGTCGGCCCCCAAGGCTTCCAGGTTGAACGGAACCGTGTCCCCAAGGCCCCACTCTGGCCCTTCGCTCAGCCCTGCGCCCTCCCCACTGATGCTGCAGGCCTCCAGCCTCGGCCAGGCTCTCCGGGACTAAACAGGACCTCTACAGCCCTGAGTGCACGCAGGCCCGGGGCCCTGAGAGCAGGTTGGCTCCTGGTGCCAAAGGAAAGCAGATCTGAGTCCAGAACCTGGACTCCATCCCTGGCTCAGATTCTAATGTTCTGGGTTCCCCTCTGCACCTCAGTGTCCCCATCTGAACACAGGCGGATGCCATGCTTTCCCCAGGGTGTGTCCTGACCCTGGAGCCCTGGGGTCATATCTGCCATCCCAACTTGCCTGTGCTGTGGACCCACATTCAATTCCCTTCCCCCACTGCAAGCCTTTGTAATCCTGCTTCAGCGGAGCCCCGGTCCTAAACCCAGGCCTCTGGCCTCCTCAGGCCTGCCAGTGCCCGCCCTGTAGCGGGAAGCGGCTGGCTCTCACAGCACATCCCACAGTAGGGCCACTCCTGGGGCTGGGGCGGAAGGGCTCCAGGCGACTGAAGTGAGATGTGAACAAACCATAAACGGCAACCTGGGCAGGGAACACCACGGGGACCTCCAGCTCACCCAGCCAGGGATCCCAGAAGGCCTCCCTGAGGCAGCGTCTGCAAGTGGGAGAGACCGAGAGACGGAGGGCAGGAAGGGAGAAGTGTTTTATGAAGGGCTCAGGCTTGCAGAGGCATGGAAGCACGAGGGACATTGATGGGATCATGCAACTTCCCAAACCGTGGTGTGACCCAGGGGGAGGCCAGGTGAGGGCGGCGGCAGGTCAGGTCCACGGAGGCTCCCAAGCCCGTGCAGGCCCAAAGGGAGCCGGACCGGAGAGGCAGTGGGAGGTTTTGCGGAGACAGCCCTGATCCAGGAAGGAAGACAGATATGGGGAGGGAAGGACGGCGGGTGGGGCGGACATGGCTCCCTGTGCTGGGAGCTGAGGTGCCTCCCACCCAGCTCCACGCTCCCTCCTGCCTCACAGCATCGGGGAAGGGTCTGCAGATGGAGGCGTTTGGGGGGAGCAGACACACTCCAAGGACACAGCTGTGACACATGGCGAGGACATCCTCAGAGCCCCTTGGAGAGCCTGGACCAGAGCCCAGCGGCAGTGCTCACGGCCCAGGAGACCGGTTCTCTCTGCGTGTCTCGAAGGCCTTTACCACCAGGACGTAGGGCGGTGGCGGTTTCCTGCTTGTGTTTAATGTGGACTATACCATTACTTCAAAAATATCCAGAGCAAGTTTTTTTGATGTGTGCAGTAAAAGTAGGAAATCAAGGGTATAGTTTATATGAAGTATGAGTGTGTATGTATGTGTGTATCTCTTATCAACAGATATTTTATTTGCGGGCATATTTTTATGAAAACTAGATGGCGTTCTGCTGGAGTGGAAAAACTAAGAAATGTTGCATCCAAATATAAGCTCTGGAGGACTTCTGCTTTCGACTAGGACAGAGCGGCCCATAGCAGACAAGGCTCTCACCAAGGGCAACTCAAAATAAAATAAACCAAAAGAGCAGAAAAAAACGAAAAGCTGGTTTTAGACACCAGGAGAGGCAGTCCCACACGCCCACAGCCCAGCCCGGCAGGTAAGACCAGCTCTGCGGGGAGCGGGTCCCCAGCACTCCCCCGCCTGGGAGAGCGCTCAGTCCGCTGCAGGCATGGGCACAGGTGGGTGTGGAGAGGCCAGCAGAGCTTTCTGCAGTCCCGCTGCTCTGAGGACACAGGCTGGGGGACTAGCTTGCTGCGACAATGTGAGGGGTCCAAGTCCCTGAAAGTACGCGGGTGCAGAAAAGTCAACCCACAGCACCTGTTCCTCCGGCATCCCGAGATGTCGGCCTGTTGTTCACAGCACAGGGCTTCGGGCCAAGAAATTAAGCAAAGCATCTGAGATGCAATGTATCAGAGATTTGTACGTCAGGGAAATAAAGAGCGGCGTTCCTGACCCACATAGGAAGACACTGTGATCACTACTACCAGTTTGGGCTGGAAAGAGAATAGCCTAAAAGAGGGGGTGCAGCAGAGGCAGATCAATTCTTACAGAGTTTGGAGCTCAGCCTAAGGGCCCCGAAGCCCCTGACAAAATGAAAAATGCCTATTCTTAGTCGATATCACTGCTGGGAACGACAGTCCATAATGTCATGTAGAGGCACCACATGTGCATTTTCAATACCCATGCCCAGGATTAAATATGAACAGGCACACCAGAAACGGGATCAAGAGAAAATTCAGACAATAGAAACAAACCTACAAGTGATCAGATATCAGAGTCACCAGAAATAAATTTTAAAATAACTATGATTCATGCATCCAAAATATTTCACATCCAAAAAGAAACCTCTACATTAGCAGTCACTCCCCATTCCCAGCTCAGCCCCGGGGCAACCACTAATGTTTTTAATCTCCATGAATTTGCCCATTCTGGACATTTCGCATACATGGAATCATGCAATGTGTGTGTCTGGCTGCTTCCATTTAGCATGAATGGTGTTTTCCACATTAAGCCGTGTTGCACCTTGTATGGGAGCTTCATTTCCTTCTGAGGCTGAATGACCGCATGGTGTGGATTTACTGCATTTGTTTACTCATTTACTAGTTGATGAACATTTGGACTGATTCCACTTCTTGGCCACCGTGAATAATGCTGCTATGAACATTTGTGGAGAAGTTTTTTGCGTAAACATATGTTTTCAGTTGAAGGGTATATACCTAGGGGTGTGAAATTGCTGGGTCAAATGTTAACTCTGTTTAGCATTTTGATGGGCTGCCAAATTGTTTTCCAAAGTGGCTGCACCATTTTATATGCCCATCCTCGGTGCATCGGTTCCAATTTCTTCCTCATCAATACTTATCATTTTTTTAAATTTTTATTTATTGATTTGGGAGAGAGAGGATGGGAGAGAGAGAAACATCAATTTGTTGTTTCACCTATGTACTCGGTTGCAATACTTGTTATAATTTTAAAAATTAAAATTATTTTCTCCCTTAATTTTCTCTCTCATATGCATTTACTTTTCTTTGGTAATACTTACCTCAACTTCTACTTATATATTTACTTATTCTTGAGCTTGTTTAAAGTCTGTGTTCCCTGATTAGACTGGAAGTTTTATGAAAACTACTGGCTACTGCCTGCTCAGCACTTAGCCGAGTGCCTGACACTATGTGTTCATCAACTCTTGTCGACAAGGCTTCTGATCACAGTAAGCGATCAGTAGGTAAGCTCTGGGGGAATAAAAAGGATTTCAACTGCATGGAGTGTCAGTGCCCTGAAGCCTCACAGTGTTCGAGGGGCCGCTGTCTATCCTACTGGCTGTTTCTCTGAGGAACCTGAGTAATACAACAAGGACTGAAGTAGGTGAAGGGAAGGAAAGGGTAAGAGTAAAATGGAAAATCACTGAGATCTCATGTGACCACAAATGCCTCGCCCATTAACTCACTATGGCCACCTTTTTGCCTTTGTAGACGAAAATCTAACTATCAGGCCAGAGCAAATGTCTTGTCCCTGGAATGCCCTGTCAGTGCGCAGTGGGAGCCTGTGCTGGGAGGGGAGCGGCCTGGTGTGGGCAGCAGCAGGGCCGGAAGGCAGGGCAGGGCGCCCCATGCCCGCACTGCCCTGAGCCAGTCCTGTCTCTTTCTTGAAGAGGCTGTGGCTTGCTCTGGGGCCAGTGAGACTGCACAGGCCTTGACTGACACTCCCAGGCCCCGAGTGCATGTCTCCGCAGAGCTGCAGCTGCAGCCAGGACAGACCCCTGCCGGGGTGGAGCAATCCAAGGGCCCCTTTTGTCTCCCGTTTAAAATGGATGTAAACGGTTAGGAGATAGTTAAGAGGGAAATACTCTCTGTTCGGGAACTTTGTAGCTGAAATCAAAAAGGGGCCCTAACCGGTTTGGCTCAGTAGATAGAGCATCGTCCTGCGGATTGAAGGGTCCCAGGTTCGGGTCTGGTCAAGGGCATGTACCTTGATTGTGAGCTCAATTCCCAGGAGGCAGCTGATGGATGTTTCTCTCTCATCAATGTTTCTAACTCTCTATCCCTCTCCCTTCCTCTCTGTAAAATCAATACAATATTTTTTTTAAAAAAAAAAAAGGGGGGGAAAGTACGCACCTCACCTTCAGGGTCCAGCCAGCCTCTCCCCCACGTCCGCTCCCCACAGGATCTGTCTGGAGAGCTGAGTGCCATCTCCAGGCTGAGCCCAGCCGCACATCCCCTTCCCCGCCCTGGGCCCTCCTGCTGCTGGTAGATGCTGCAGAGACTGCCCCCAGCCTCACCGCTGTGACCCGCAAGGACCAGGGCCTCCAGGCTCGGGGACAGAGCACAGCCCAGACTTACAGGGTGAGGACCCAGACACACTCCCAGGGCACTGAGCTGGGCCAATCCAAAGAGCTACCCGCCTCTGAGAAGTCCTGCTCTCCCCGATTGTTCGCCAGCTCTCCCTCATACACAGTCTCCTGGAGAATTGTGTGCCAGGGGGAGAGGGGCAGGGCCAGGGGGCGGGGGACTGTGCCACCCACAGGGGTGACCTAGAAGGCAATCATCGCCAGCAAGACAATGATGGCAGCCCTGGCCGCGTGGCACAGTTGGTTGGAACATCATCCTGTACAGCAAAAGGTTGCGGGTTCGATTCCCAGTCAGGGCACATACCTAGGTTGTGGGTTTGATCCCTGGTCAGGGAGAATACAGGAGGCAACTGATTGATGTTCTTTCTGTGTCTGGTCTCGTTTTTTCTTTATTTTCTAATCCCCAGCTCCTCCGCTCAGGAACCTGTCGTTTTCCCGTGCGGGTCGCGGGAAACAGAAACAGCTCACCACACTCTACAATCAATAAAACTTCTCCTCGGGTGAGGATTAAAAGAAAGAAAAAGCCGGTGATGCGGTGGTGATAGCAGCTGGCCTCCCTGAGCACTTCCCCTGAGCAGGCACTTCCCACGCATGGTCTCAGCTCGGCCCAACGCTGTGAGGCTGGAGTTACTGCCCCTTCAGGTAGAAGCGGACACTGGGACCCTGAGAGACTTGGTGCCTTGTCCAATTGAAGTATGGTAGCAATCATCTCAGGTAGAAACTATAGTTTAATTCTAACCCTGCTGTTTGGCTTCTGTACTTATTTGCTTTGTTTAACAATAGAAAAGTTACTTTGATTTTCTGAATTGTATAAATCATCCCATTCGATTGAATCCTTATTGATTGTAACGTGACTATCTCATTGATTGTGATCTTACTGGTTTTAGAAAGCAAATTCCTCTGTACCTGGGAACCAGGACAGCACAATTATCCCAAGACTTGAGGGTTCCAGGTAATGTTTCCCTGTCAACTCAGTGGTCCTAAGACCTGAGGGCTCTAGATAATGTGTTTCTGTCAACTCAGTGGTCCAAAGACCCAAAACTATAATTAATCTTTGTAGATAACTAATTGGCTCAATCTTGCTTCTGTAACTGCTTTGTGCAAACCAGGGTCCTCATTCCAAACCCTGGGATGTAATCAATACCTTTGTGATTTTTGCCTATATAAGTCTGGTGTTTCAGCCATCTTATCACTATGAGATTTGGGAAATGGCCCCTCATAGTCCTGGATTTGCAATAAATGTGACTCTTTAATTTGACTTCTTGAGGCGTCCTTCTGTGATTCGCGGGGTACATTACAACACAATGTCATCCCAACTAGTAAGGACAGGAAGCAGATCCGTGTGACTCTGGGACCACACTCCTGACCACCATGCTCACCCCACTCTGTAGCTGGCTCTGCTCCTGCCCGTGCCCTCTCCATGGCTCAGGGAGGGGCAGGGGTACAAACTAGAATGTGCCACTGGCGTGGCCCACAGGAGTAAAGGACGGACAGACGGCGGCAGGTGGCAGGCTGGGACTCTCACCGCATTGTCAGTG